CACACGCACACATATGTGTTCACGTGGTCTAACTTCACCAGTGATCCCCTGGGCTACAGTGTAACATCTGGAAGAGCCAAGGGAGGGAGGAGACGACAGAAGAGTAAAGGAGGAGAACGAGGGAGGTGGTAGGGAGGGAAACAAGGGAGGCAGGAGGGTTTTAAATGTGGATGGAGGGAGAGAAGATCAGTTATAGACACATAGGAGGAGAGAGAGTGGAGGAGGGAATGGAGTAAGGGAAAATATAGGAAATGTAGTGAAGGGTTGCATTTGGAAGTAAGGGAATGGAAATGATGAGAGAAGAGAGCAGATGGAAAAAAGCTTAGGCAATTAAGGCTGGGGTGAAAGGAGATGTAAGTGAAGGAATTAGGAAAACCATAAAAGGAGGGAGAAAATGAGAGGACAGGAAATAGTTGTACAGTGAAAGGTGTAAGCAGAACAAAACAAGGTAAATAGAAATACATTATAAAAGATTGAGAGAGGAGAGGATTGTTACGAGGCACAAAGGGAGGATAGGAGCACAAAACAAAGGTGGAAGTTTAGATGCCCACTGAAGCCCTTGGCCAGAATTTGGTGAGAGTAAAACCATCTAAATCCAGAAATGTCATGGGAAATGTTAACAGTGCAGGGAAAAAAGTTGGATGGAGGGATGTTGTGTTATCAAGAAGAAGAAATGAAAAATGATACAGAAACCAGGGGGGATGGAAAGTATGAAGACAAATGTAAAGCAAATGAAAAGTAAAATAACCATGATGTAATAAAGACAACTTGACAGCGTTGTGTGAGGGACTAACATGTCTGTCAGAAAGGTGTAAAGCATGGAGAGTGAATGTGTGTGCGTGTGTGTGTGTGTGTGCCAGGCAGCGTGTAGGGGTCTAGTGAGGCAGGCCGCCTGCGCTTCGTACCCTCATTCCGTCCGATTGCCATGACGACCCCATTAATCAGCCAAGCTGGCACAGAGCAGGGTTCCCAGCCCAGCCTGAGATCAATACACACACACACACACACACACACACACACACACACACACACACACACACACACACACACACACACACACACACACACACACACACACACACACACACACACACACACACACACACACACACACACACACACACACACACACACACACACACACACACACACACACACACACACACACACACACACACAATACATCCACAAACTAGCAAATGATGAGCAAAAAAGTATGAATGGATAAGATAATTGTAAGTTAACTAAATAATGATAAAGAATCATATAGATCGGAAGTTGAGGTCCTAATGTAACTTATCATAATCCCTCCTTGCGGTGAAAAAAGAAACATGGTCCTGTGATAAACTATCCTTATCTATGAAAAGTAGGAATCTACGATTGTATTTGTTATAATAAATTGTTATTATTATAAACATTGTACTCACAATGTCCCTTTCCAGCTAGATATAATATCAGATTATATATTTGAATTACTTGTTTCCCATCTCTTGAATTATGTAATTATTTTCAGCACAAAGTCCATACACAGAATCCTATGCGAGCTGCTCTTTGAAAGTTTGGTCAGAACTTTGTTTTTCATTTTCACTTTCGTTGTGTATTCCTAAACAACGGAGCGCATGTGGTGAAGTCACCAGCGTGACAAATGACCGCCACCAAAATAAGTGTTTGCCATGTCAATGAGACACACACACACACACACACACACACACACACACACACACACACACACACACACACACACACACACACCACACACACACACACACACACACACACACACACACACACACACACACACACACACACACACACACACACACACACACACACACACACACACACACACACACACACACACACACACACACACACACACACACACACACACACTCCATATCAATGAGAAGGTGAAAGGTCTCCATTTACATCTTGTATTAATTATGAGTGACAAGCCAAAGGTCACTGAGGGAGAAGAGGCCACTGGTATGGACAGAATATAGATCTACCTCTTCTCTCCCTTTCTCTCGTCTCCCTCTTTTCCCTATCTATCACTCTGTCTCACCCCCCTCTTGTTTCCTTCACTTAACTTTTCTCCCCCCTCCATGCTCTTTTTTTGTTCTCACTTATTCTTGCTCTTTTTTCTTTCCTATTTCTTTTCTCCAAGTGTGAGAATTTCAATGTTTTTTTTATCGTCCTTCCTGTTTTTCCTTGATCTCTTCATCTGTGGATCTCTATTAATCTCTTTGGATGTTTTTGTTTCTTCCCTTCTCTTTTGGTCTGTTTTCAGTGATAGGTGTGGGGTGGTGTGCAGAGAGGATGCTTGCCACTGTTGCAGAATACCCCATTGCAGCTTTGGGCGAACTCAACATACATTTATAAAAGTTAGCATCCGTTAACAGTAGGATGTGCGTGCACTTACAGTTAGTCTCTGTGTGTAAGTGTGTGTGTTTGGTTTGAGGGGGCTAGCTCAGAGTTATTTCCTGTTCTAAAGAATGGCACAAACTTGTAGGAAGGGCCCTAGAGAATAGCAGGCAATGGGCAGTGAGTGGGTGTGTGTGTCCGTAAGTGTCTCTAAGTGTGTGTGTGTGTGTGTGTGTGTGCACGTGTCTTCAGGCCCCTCACTGGTAAACAGATGGCACCGGCACCACAGGTAGAGTCCACATTTCTTCACATGCATCACAAATGACAATAGACACACACATACACAATCCCTCATATGTATAATGTATAGTATACTGTATATACCATATGGAAATATCCGCGATATACATTTGTTTACATGCTATGAAATTATACATGTACATGTAAAGGCATGTTTTGGTTTGTGGTCATAAGTGTTTGCTTGTGTGAGAAATGTTATCATATAGCACATCTTGCGGGAATGTGCAGCTAAGGCCAAATGACAACATTAATCAAGGAGGATACTCACAGTTAAATGCATCCATTCTCCCATCATCCAGCGTTCACTGTGTGTGTGCTTTTCTGTGTAAGTGTGCATTTACCTCCACAGTGAGAGCAGTAACAGCAGTTGAGTTGAGCGTTGGGTCCTGTTGGTGCTTCTTGTAAACCAGTCTATAATGGGAAATGAGACCGTTGGGCTGCCCCGGTTCACTCCATTTCAGATGGGCTGAGTATGCGCCTGTCAAAGTGCACAGAATGTGTGGAGTTTTACAGTAATTCAATACAGGAACATTTTAACAACAGCAGATTGTATGTGACTCGGTGAACTTACCAGTGGGCGTGACAGTGGGAGGGACCATATCTTGTGGTTCGGCCTGTAGAGTCTGAGCTAAAGCCCATTGGCTCAGCACGGAGCCCTTGGAGTTGTAGGAGCGGACCCTGTACTGGAGGAAGCTGAAGGGGCGCAGGGCGGGGCTGGCATCGAAAAATTCAAGTGGCCCACTGGACCAGATGAACACCAGCAGCTCCTCCTCTGTTCCTACTGGACGCCTTTAACAGAATAAAGACTTGGATTAGCCATCATCAAAATGTGTTCAATATAATTTAATAAACTTAAAATGTTTTGTTTATATAAATAAATATACTAAAAGTTATCTTAGATTGGAAATTCCTAAATTGTAATTAGTATTTGAAAAGTTACACTTAAAGGGACAGAACACCCCATATTTTGATCCCATTTATCAATCTAGAGTTGTTGACTTTTGGAGATATAGGCTTTAGAGATTTTTGCCAAAGTATATTTTCAAGTATGTTATTGATAGCTATTTTAGTATATCTTATTATTCTTCAGTGTACTAAAATTAAGCTCACTTAGTTTGTGTGGAATTAGAAATAAAAATGGATCATCACGCCTTAAACATCATGTTTAAGTCCCTGGCTGATGCAAGCATCCTGATGTCTTGGTAAGACCCTTTGTCTGTGATTATGTAGAGTTTCAGGTGTGAGAGAGATTTTCCTATTTTATCCAAGTCCCTGTCTGTCTGAGTCTGATCATGCCAGGTGTGTCAGTGTGTGTGTGTGAACTTCTATGCTAATGTGTGTTTCCCGAGGACTTAAAGGGCTTAGTCTGGTCTGACCCTGCATACAGATCACACACTCTTTGGTCAACAAGCAGACCACGACCTTCAGCATGCATTAATACATACACGCAGATGCAAACACACACACACAAAGTAAGAAGAATCGTAGGCAGACACTTGCTTGAACATAGATCACATATCATCCGTTTTTTTGTCTATAAAGCTAATTATATGTTTGCATAGTATGTGAATTTCATTTGTGTGCTACTTCTAGTTCATTAGTGATAAACTGAGTAAATTATGTGATCACATTTCCACATTGATTTGTAAGAGTAAGTACAAAATGAGGCAGATACTGGTCATTGGTCTCAGTGTACTTCACATGCATATTTATGTATATGTTGTTCAGTGTTTTTTTTTGTCATGGGTTACCTGTATATATGGTAGGATGTGATGAATCCGTTGGGTTGTTGTGGGGGTGACCAGTGGATCTCCAGGACACTGGCTCCAGCTGCCTTCACAGTGGGGGGCAGCAGACCTTCTGGGGCGGTCTCTAAGGTACGAATATACACTTCCCCTCCAACTCCACACCCATCTACAAGGTGCAAAACATGAACAATTAGCCACAAAGCAGACATTTCTAGGCAAAAATAGTCAACCGTTGTCTTCTAAATTTATGAAATAAGTATATTAATAGACTGTTTTCACTGTTTCAACTTTTAAGAACATCACACAAAAGTAAAAGTGTAACATTTTTGTATTTAGTTTTGCCAAATTGTCTCTTTATAGTGCACAACTAATGATAATATTAATGTTATTTAATGTTTTATTCCAAAATCAGTGTTATCAAATACTAACCACTCTGACAGGCCTGCACTCTGATGTAGAAGGCGGTGAATGGCTGTAGACCCGTGACAGTGAGGTGAAGGTCTGGGCCAGCATGATGCAGGAAGGCGTTGTCACTTCCTGGATTTAACAGGACGTTGTAGTTTACAGGCTGACTGCTGTGGAGCTGAGCTGTGGAAAAGGAGAGAGACATACAGGAAATGATTCAAACCCATGCTAACTGTGATACCTAAATACCGCCTTGTAACAGAATTTAGGCCTCCACTTGTTACCCAAGTATCGTTATCGAAAAGTATTTCTCTGTGTTGCATACTTGACATAATTATGTGGTTTCTATTTTAGAAAGTAGTGAACTTCAGATTTTAAGCTATAGTCTCTATTCAAATAGGAATACATAGAAGCATACTTATTTGCCTATATTGGAGTTTCCAAACCGACTGATCATGCCCTCACAATCCTAGCATCTTCGTCACACAACCAGATAAAAACACACACATGTATACATACAGAAACACCCACACAGATACACACACACACACTTTGACTCTGTTAATATTCTCACCGGAGGTTTTTCCATAATTCAGGCCAACTGTATTGTGATGGGTTATTCAACATTCATGAACTCTGGATATCTCGAGAATGAACTGATTACCAGACAAATGAAAGACTTCAATTATTCACCCCCCAACTCACATATGCACACACACACACACACACACACACACACACACACACACACACACACACACACACACACACACACACACACACACACACACACACACACACACACACACACACACACACACACACACACACACACACACACACACACACACACACACACACACACACACACACACACACACCTCTGACTTCAGTACATGGAGCTTTTTATATGAGCTGCATTAACACACTTTCACACCGTCCACACACATACACTTGGATATTTATATGTGAGCACACATGGGCACAGGGGTCATAATGCTTCTACTTTGATCAGTTTGTTGCACAGCCATAGAGGTTTAATTGTCAATGTGATATTCAATTTCTATTATTTACAACCAATCAGCTGCTTTATCATCTTCTTTTACACACACATGATGCCAACAATTACTGAAGCACACATGCACACTTACATACTACACACACGCGCACGCATGGACACGCTTGCAAAGACACATACACTTCAATGAAGGAATTGATCCAAGAGAAAATCTCTGTTTAATAGCCATACGTCAGTGCTTTGGCAGTCAATCTATGCATATGAAGACACAAACACATGTGTATGGATATACACACAGACATACACACTGTCAGAGAGTCTGACAAGCACACACACACACACACACACACACACACACACACACACACACACACACACACACACACACACACACACACACACACACACACACACACACACACACACACACACACACACACACACACACACACACACACACACACACACACACACACACACCACACACACACACACACATACACACACACACACACACACACACACACACACACACACACACAAGTCGAAAACACTCCAGATTCTGGGCTCAGGGAGTTAACCAAGCGAGAGAACCCAGACGATATTTCCTCACCTTTAAAATCAACCCGTAATGACGATAGAATAGGCCTGCCTATGGAAATGTCTCCACAGTGATGTGCACACACACACAAACACAACAAATACACACGTATAAAGACTCATGCATAAACACAGACACAAATACACAGACACAAAACACACACAACACAACACAACAAAGTGAAGTGTCTTTGCTAGTTGGCCCTATAAGCAGTTTCTGAAATAGGAAATCAGCCTAATGAGAGAGTAATAGTCAATGATAGATGGGTTAGGGCAGACAATCACTGCCCCATAAGCATGAAACTCAGCCCTGAGTGTGTGCTCATGTAAATCTGGGGTGTGTGTGTGTGTGTCCAAGTCTTGAGAGGCCAGAAGGTGAATACAAAAACAACACAATGCTTTTGTTTCAGTCTGGCCCCTCGCTTTGTCTCCTCCAATCTGAGGAAAAAGGGATTCACACGGAAGAAAAACTTCTCTCTGCTCAGTTTAATATTGTGGATTTATTTTGTATGCATTTGTAAAGCCAAATCCAATAAATATAACAACCATTGTTATATTGTTGGTTAGTTTTATTTTTAGATCATTGGAAAAATAATTAATGTATATTTTTTTCTGGGAAATAGCTTTGCAAAGTTAATGTAAGTAAAATGTTGACTTTAATAATTTGACTCAATGCTGTTTTATATAGAAAAACTGTTGCTGCCATTTGACACGTGCATGCCAAAGAACCTCTTAGTTACTCGACACCGCTGAAAATATATTTTAAATTCTTACAAACATTGAATTGAGCCCCTCTGTCTCTGTGATCACTTCACAGTAACCACACAATTACCCACAATGCCACCACTGGGCATGGTACATCTAAACACCAATAGCATTACAAGGAGCAACACAATGTTTACATATATTTTACCCTTGATACACACATAAACAAGTTAGTTATCGTTACAAACACAGTGTCTAATTTGTGATGCCATTGGGTTCAAACTAAATGCATCCATCCATCCATTCAGACAGCTACTCACCAGGAGGGGTCCAGGCCAGAGAGACGGAGTGGGGGCCCAACACTGTCACATTGTGGGGAGGTTGGATCCCAGTGGGGCAAGAGACTGGTGTTTGAATAACATATTTGTCACTCACACCGGTCCCACCCCCTGTGCTGGCCTGCAGCTCATACACATACCTGAGGAGATGGTGGAGTAAAGAGAAGAAAGCAGAAAAGAGATAGCAGAGGAGGGACACAGAGAAAAGAGGAAAGAAGAGAGAAAGAAAGAACATGCAGAGAGACAGTTAACACAACTGTACCAAAGCATAGAGTAAACATGTCCGGTCCTGGTCAGGATCATGGCCCACAGTCAAAGGGAGTATTCATACAAAATAGCAGAACTTACCAGGTACATACGATAATGTATTTTATATTGTTTGGTTTATTTTTTATGTTTTTTGATCTTGAGAATGCTGTATGTATTTTGCTGGACAAAAACGGAGAAAGAAACTAAGCTCAAATGCCCATTATACTTTCAAGGAAGGTCATTCCTGTAAGTAAACACAGGGGTTGCATCAACAGGGAATCTGTTGCTTTTTTTAAAACAAGTTTTAATGTAATTGAGAGTCTGAGTTGCAGAAGTGTTGTTGGAGATTATCTCCAAGGGACTTTTTAGAATTGGAAAACAGGGTATGGATGAAAAACTGTATGTGATATGCATCTATTAATTTATAAATCAGTGATATTTCTATTTTTTTTTTGTTTTTTTGAAAGGGGCAGGTCATGTAAGGTTTTTTTCTTCTCCCTTTTTGCTCAATGGTGTGTTGTAGAGACATGTTTTGTTGGCAATTATTGTACATTGAGCTTTGCGTACCATGAGCGGGACAAATAAAAATGAAATGAAATATATAAGAGCAAAAACTGAGAACGGAAGTCCCAGCTTAGCATGAGCACAGCGAGGAATGTAATCTGTCACTTGATACAGAATTTGTGTCATCATAAAAGTTTTCTTGCATGGCAAAAATGGCAATTGTGCGGGTATTAAGGTCAACTCGGTTGCATAGTTTCTGTCAAAAATATTTCATGACATTGCCCCAAAAATCTCTTCAATTATAGGCATCATCATTAATATTTGAAAGATCAAAGCAACCAAAGGAAAGACTCACAGCCTCTTGCACTGCCCTCCACAAATAGATCAAAATGAATGTACATAGTGTGCTCATGTCTGTGTGTTTAAGCTCATACACTGACCACACTTGAGGTCCATTTCTTTCTCTTTCTCTTTCTCCCTCTCCATCATACACCTCTCTCTCTCTTACGTCTGTCTCACTGCCCCTCTCGGCCCGCTCTCTGCCTCTCGCCCATGACATCATAAGATAGATTTCCCTTTTAAGAGCGAGTGGCTGCTGGTGCTAAAGCCTACATTAGCTGTGTAAGTGGGCCACCATTTAACATTAAAAGCCTTTAATTTGCTATAAACTCCGGCACACATGCATTAATAGGGGGTGCTGTTGGGTTATTGTTCCTGCGCAGAGCGTTTCCAACAGGAGGCCATTAGCACCAGTGCAGTGGGTTAGAACGCAGTCAGGAAAAGGTTAAAATTAAAACTACTCATATGTTGCTCTCATAGACACAAAGAGACACACAGAGCAAAACATACATAAATACAACTAATTGAGACGGACCAACTGTGGAGAGGAGAGACAGGAAGAGAGAGAAATCATGAGAGGAAGAGAGCGAGTGTGATGGAGAGGAAGGAGTGTATCATGGCATAGGGTTTCAGAGGGAGAATGAATTCAAACACTTCATCACTGGAAGATATTTACTTAAATGTAAACACCGCCTTGGGATATCAAAAGTCAAACGGTGTGCGTGTGTGGTAGGTAATCGTTGAATGGGGCATTTGCATCTGTATGGCTGTGGTTGTGGCTGTGTGTGTGTGTGTGTGTCCTGCGGGGCCAGCCAGAGGGAATAGGTTAATTCTCTCGTCATCTTAGACACTTCCTGGGCTGCCGAAGCAAAGTGACAGCTAATCAACATTGTCATAAATAATCAATGGCCACTTTGAGCAGTCTCATGCACAGACACATGCGCACACAGAAAGGCATGCGTGGGTACACACTCACACATGCGGGCAGAAACCCACACAAGACTGCCTGGATAATGGGGCCGGTGCTCCCTGTGTAATTCTTGGCACAGAGCTAAATTGGGAAAAGAACGGAAGGAGGAATGAGGTAAGAGGGAAAGGATGGGAGGGGAGGGTGAGAGGAGAGAGAAGTGAATAGGAGGCGAGACAAGTGATGAGAAGCGAAGGGTCGGGACGGGAATGCCTTCTGGCAGACTATCTGGAATTAGGGAAAATGAAACGTCACACACACACAGTCCTATCTTCTTTCTTCCTTCCTTTCTTTCTCTTCCACACACACATAGAGGAGATTGGAGTACTGCAGGGTGTTATCCCAAGAATTCTATTTGGAGAAAGGAGAAATTGTCTCTGGAGAGAGAAGACCAAGGAGAGGGAAAAGGAGACATGAGAGAGAGAAAGAGGAGGGTAGGCGGGGTATCATTTTACACTCCCGTAATTAAAACAGAAAATCCATCTCAGAAAAAAGACACGGATTAATAAAGGTTAAATGAAAATAAACAGATAAATAAAATCTCCGCTCCAATGCTGTCTGCAAGCAAAAGCTAAATCTGATTTGTGTTTTAATATGTGTGTGTGTGTGTGCGTCTGTCATTGGCATGTCAAATATTTGCTCATTAAATGGCACAAACAGACATATACAGAGTGCAGTCCTCAGAGAGACATGGATGGGATGGAATAGGAGATAGGAGGGCTTTTAAAACAGGGTGACCCCCATATAAACACGCATACACTCAAACGGGAAAGTGTAGGAATTAGAGGCATGATTAATTATGAAGCTACAAGTGAATTGTGTTTATGCATGTTTGACTACTACATATGTGCACACAAACACATTTGCATTAATGTGTGTGTAAAGTATGCGAGTGCCCGCTCTCTACCTTCGGTTTGGCACGAGTCCAGTGTCGGTATAATTCTGGTCACGGTGGTCTCCGGTAAAAATAGTGTGACCGTCTCTGTTCAGCCTGTACTGGGAGATGTGTCCATTAGGTCGGGGGGGCTGATCCCAGTACAGCTCCACTGCAGATGTGTTTATTATCAGATGTCTGGGGCTTGTCCATACATCTGAGGAGCAAAGACGGAAAGAAGAGGGAATGTTTAAAGTTAACTTTATTTTGTTTCAAACAAACTAATCAGGAACAAAACTTTCCTTAAAAGATAACTTACTAATATCAAAGTGATGACAGGTAACAGCTTGTTTCTGATTGACTGTGCACAGGTTGAGTCACTACTTTGTTAAACGGTAACTGAGAATAGTGACATTTATTTACATAAGAATGTAGAGAAGTAAGCACAAAAAGATTACAATGATGGAGAATAACTCATGAGGTTTTAAAGAAACCAACGGTGGAACAAAAGATGTCAGACAAGATGTGATTGTAGTGTTATTTCATTATTTGAAACTAAAAGGAACACAGATGGTCTAAAAGGTTTAACATTTAATAACGTTTTTACAAATAAATATGCATTATTTCAGATTAGAATTGTAAATTGATTTATATTGAAGAATAAGTGTTGAGACTGATGGAAGAGAGGATAATACATAATATAAATGTATGTCTATAGAAAACAGTACATAAAGAGATTATGCAAGTTAAAAGAGAGACAAATGACGGCTTAGCAAGGTAAACATAGGGGGTAAAAAAAAGGTTCAAAAATGGGAAATAATTTGATATTTATTGTGAAAGACTCGGAGAAAAGCACAATGTGCAATTTGTTTCAAGAGAAGGAGAAACAAGACATAAAAGAAGAGGAGTGAGAAAGACGTGGAAAAAAACAGAAAGGAAATATCAAGAGAAGGAGAGGCAGAGGGGAGGCAGAGGGGAGGAAGAGGAGTGAAAGTGGACATGAAAATAAAAAGGAATGAAAAGAGAAAAATCGTCCTAATGAAAGTTAATTAATAAACAAAAATCTGAGACGGCATTTTATTTAGGGAACAAAATAATGTTTTTTCCACTGTAGTCACCAGAGAGGAAGAGGAGACAAAGCTAAAGGTGAAGGAGAGCGAGATATAGAGAGACCAAAGAAAGATGAGAGGGGGAGGATTTAAAAAAGGAGAGCAGTGGGAGGAGAGAAGAGAAGCAAGAGGGAGTCAGTGAGGAGAACATGGACTAAGGAACATCTTGTAGAAATTACCGAATGCTCGATAGATTGCTTTATTTCAGTATTTATCTAAATGGTTAGTTGTTGGTTATTTAAAGTCATTTATATATTTTAAACAATTTAACATAACGTTTTTCCCTGTGACAATAAAAGAAAAAAAATAATGATTATTGGAAAATGTTTTTACTTTACTTACTGCATGTAATACATTGTTGTGGAAAATGCAATGCAGATTCTCACAGTCTTACATTAGCGTGGTTCAGACATCGGACAAATCCAGACAAGTTTTAAGAATCTGAGTAACCAAATGATTTGGAATTAAATGTCACAAGATGAATTCCAAAGATTTATAAGAAAGGTTTTTAATATTTTTCAGGATGTCCAGGATTTTCATAATTGTGCCTGTGTGTGTGTGTACCGGCAGGGGGGGCTTGCAGGGTGCGTCCTGTGGAAGGTGAGCTGGCTCCACATCCCACAGCTGTGCAGCCCACCAGCACAAAACTGTAGTCTGTGTACGGCTGCAAACCTGTGGCACACAGAAAAATATACATAGGGTGATGAAAATAAATGACAAAAGATTAATCCTACGCACAAAAAAGATGGAAAATTGCATATATTATTTCTACGTTCAGTTTATTTTGTATTCCGTACACAAAAAGCTGAAATAGGGGGTTAAAAAGGGAGAGAGACACATATCCAAATACAGAACAATAAGGGGAATAAAGTAAAAAAGAGAGGAAAGCTTTCCGGCCCGTATCACAAGCTCTTTTCCTGAGCGTCTTCTCTCTCTATCCATTTCACTCTCCCTCCCTCTGTTCTTTCCACACTCTCTCAACGGATGGATCCATATCTGTCGGTGTTAAATTATGCATGCCATAACTCAATAATGAAACAACGTAAAGATGGGCAGCCGCGGAACTGACATGGGATAGGACCGGTCCAACGCTGTAATGTCATCAGCTTTTGATCTATGATAATTATGATACCTCGGTATACGTTTAGGCTACAGCGTCCAGACATGATTTATTTATATGCGCCCGCTATACGCAGTCTAAAAGAAATCACATAACGACTGAGTGGTCCTTTAACTGCCACCACAGGAAATCAGTTTTAGGACATTTTAAACAATTGAAATACTGGAAGTTGCTAATGAAAATCCACATGTACCTAAACAAAGTTATCCTGGAGTTAGAACCACTTTCTGGTGATTGAAAAGCTTTGTCTTCTTTTGATATATTTTCTGCCTGGTGCTTGATATACTGAGGGTGGATGAGGATTAATGGATGAATGCAAATCCTTAATGTTGTCATGGGGGTTGACTGGATGTTTTATGGTCATTCACTTAGCTGACAGCATACAACAGCTTACAAATCAAATTGAAGGGAAAATGAAGGAGCGAAAAAATGACAATATTTCAAAAGGATGAATGTGAAAACAGGCTTTGGCATTACATAAAACAGAGTGTTGAATTCTTTATTTCTGCCTACATTTTAAATACTTTCAGAGAAGCAATACATATTTTATAACATTAAGGACAAGATAAATACTTCTATTATATAGAACCTTTTTTCATACCTACTAACATGTTTCATCTTTAGCATATTACATTTATACTAAAAACTAATCATATTTAATAGACTGAAAATGTGTTTTAAACTATAGATTTTATTTTAACAAAGAAATGTAAATGTATTCTATTTGATTTATGTTTAATATCACAGGGGAAATAGACAGTACAGGACTCGTTGGGTTGCAGATTTGAAATACATGCGTATATTACTTATATTACAAATGAGTTATCAAATCTTTACAGATTTAGGTCCCCACAAGTATAGTAATGCTAGGCCACACACACACACACACACACACACACACACACACACACACACACACACACACACACACACACACACACACACACACACACACACACACACACACACACACACACACACACGTCTTTCTACTGCTCAGCCTGCTTAACATGCCTCACAGCCTGCCACGCTTAACCCAACCTCTGATCAATGTGTGTGTGTGTGTCTGTGCAAAGGCTCTCACTATGTTGCCCTGGGTTTGGGTTAAATAAAGGAAATCTGCCAGCCATACAAAAGTACTAGGGTTTGAAGCGTAAGGCTCTGTTACACTATTTAACTGTGCAACTAAGCGTGTGTATATGCATGTGTGCACTCTAGCATAGTAAATGATATCTACACCGAAAGTGATGTCATTTGTTGCAACGCTGAATAAAGCAGTAACCCTTCACTTCATGTTTCTACATAGAGACAGACAGAGTGTCTCTACAGGAGTCAGAAAAGGGCCGAAAACGGACAGATAACTGTGTCATATTTTATGATCAACACAGACCACATAGACAACCTCATTTGGCAATGAAGGCGTGTGATCCAACAGTAATGAGTATAAGAAACGTGTGTTAAATGTTTTTGGGTGCATACAGATTGTATTCAGTAATGCTTCAATTGTTTCCAGTACTTATTAATCACGGACTAAACGAATAAACGGTATCAGGCCTACCTTTTGAAAGGAAAACAGTCAGAATATTACAGAACTACAAGGCTAAAAACTCTGAAAAGCCAAACATTACCTGCTTCTCCAACCATTGTGTCTCTTATTATTTCAATTTTAAACCAAAACAAACACACTTTTCATTCAACCCGTGTGTTAGACAAACACATACACACACATATACAACCACCTTTGATGTCTCCTGGTGTGTTTCAAGTAACCTTTAAAACTGAAGCCTGAAGAGGGCAGTATTGGTCTGCTGAAGAAACTACTGGGTGTCTACTGTGTGTGTGTGTGTGTGTGTGTGTGTGTGTGTGTGTGTGTGTGTGTGTGTGTGTGTGTGTGCCTCTATGTGCGCATACCAGTGCATACATATGTGTGCTTATGTGTTCGATTATGGAAAGACAGAGGCAGCTTCAATAATTTTAACAGTGATCACCGGGAAGTGAAAAACAGGTTGAGGGTATTCTGATGTGAGCAGCCAGCGGCTCACTAACACAGAGTGAGACAAGGCTGTCACTGTCATCATGATAGCTGGACACTACTGAGATCAGTGTGTGTGTGTGTGTGTGTGTGTGTGTGTGTGTGTATGTTTGTGCACAGGGAGAAACAGACAGAGACTATGGCAGAAAGACAGAGTAAAGAGTTAAAGCTTAGATTCAAGCTAAAAGTCAAAGAGAACGAGAACCAACAAGAGAAAGTAAGGAGTGTGACACTGTTGTTGTGGATTTCCCTTATATGTGTGTGTGTGTGTGTGTGTTCATGTGTTTCAGGAACAAAATTACTGATTTATAATGGCATTTTATTGACAGGTTGCCATTCCTTGTTTGCATTAGAGAATATGATAGGATGATGGGCACAGGAGGTAATACCAAGCCAGTTACCCGATACATCAGATAGTAAAGGAAATAAAGAGAGAGAGAAAGATGGTAAAATGAAAGAAGATGGGAGAAAAAGGGAAAAGCCAGAAAGGAGAATACGAGGAGAAGGAAATGTGAGGACATCTGAGAAAGAGAAAGAAGAGAAAGAAAAGAAAGGCGCTGAAATGGAAAGAGACGAAACCAATGATTGGTAGAATGAAGAGTAAGACAAGTGAGTGAGTTGAGAAGCAGAGGGAAAAAGGAAGTTATAGTGAAGTTTGCATAAGAAACAGAAATTATAGATGATGCATCGAGAACACGCAAGAAAACTAACAGAGAGAGAGAGAGTGAGGGAGAGGAGAGCTTTGATAACACCTCTCCTAAATAATTAAGAGTTTGACTTCCTGTCTGTGGCTGCCTAATGCAGAGAGCGTCTGGGATGGAACAATGAGATCAGGTTCACACACACACACACACACACACACACACACACACACACACACACCCACACACACACACACACACACACACACACACACACACACACACACACACACACACACACACACACACACACATACACACACACATCTTTTAAGCAAGCTAAACAATATGAGCAGATACAAGTTATTGTGCAGTACTTGCCATACATATGCATTTACACACACAGACATACACACATTTCACCTTGGAAGACATGGCCAGGAATTTGGGACGAATAAATCAGTGAATGTGTCCACTTGGAAAACATCTCTACATATCTTGCGTGTACAAGTTTTGAGGCATATTCGGTCAATGATAGCTCTTACTTTGCTTGCTTACTGTTGTATTATTAATGTTGACTTCAGAGAAACTGTAGAATCTATACAAATCTTTAAAAAAGTTAGTAGTTTATGATCGTATCCCTCACATTCCAACTTTTCAACCGATAGAGATTCACTTAAATAAAAATGTTGTACTCATTGTGCATGAAGTTATAAGGATGACATCTAGAGCATTTGTATGTATTGCTAACTGGACTATATAGTTCAAACTTCAGTCTTTTAAACTTTTTATGTTTTAGCTAGATTTTTGAAGCAGAAATCATAAACTTACAGCAAATGTTGTTAACTGGTTACATGAAAGACTCATTCCACATACTGTAGGGTTGACACTTCTTATGATAAACTGATTAAAGGTTGATTGATAAACAGTTCTTGTATATCTCCTCCTTTCTTGCGCCTACATGCCTGTACCTTTAGCACAGACCAATCCGAGCATGGACTACGGTGGAAAGGCATTAATAAATAAAAGAACATACTCTATTCCCTGCTGTTCTGAATTAATAATGAGCCTACAAAAGACCAATTAAACACATGATTAATGCCATAATCTATATAATTGCAGGCAATAATTCATCGTGAGCTAATGATAGCAATACTTAATATCGATTCACATGGGGTGTCTCTGTACAGCAGTGCTTAATTCTTTCTATGAAGTGTCACTTTTCGGAACTGCTACAAATGCTATTAGTTAGAGTCCATTTCTGGCTTTTCCAAAAGCAAATCACTTATAAAAGGGAAATAATAGAAAACACAACATTGTTTTATATTTTTAGATTCAGTCATCATTTTGGCAGCTGCTACATTTGGGAATTCTTCTCCTAAAAAACCTTTATGGGCAAAAACCACAAATAAAAGGTGATTTAAAAGAAATATATATAGTACTCTATTCTTTATATATTTAATAAAAGGAAACAGGTACTCAGTTAAAATAAATACTATTATAAATACATATTGTTTCAGAATGTAAGATAATACTGGTGGTTTTATGATGATTATTATTATAAAAGTACATTTACAACAACTTTTCTTAATAAATGACTCTGAGGAAAATGATTTTAACAGAAAATACTCCATCAGACATGTATCAGATCAAATAAGTTACAACACTGCAAAGTGATTCAATCCAACATTGACATTTTAGTAGCTAAAAAAAGCACGTTTCTCCAGTTTCTGCGGTGAGTGAATGAGCTCTCTGAGCGTCTGTCTCTGACAGCGGTGAGAACCGTCGCAGAGATGCAGAGAGGATGAATTATGGCGTATTAAACATTGAGGACGAGGGAGTAGCGCAGCAATTATTTCTGTTCATATTTCACTGAAAACACTTAGATACATCCATCCATCTTTACATCTGTCCTACTCCTTCTTCCTTTTCTCCTTCACTCCGTTTCAAAAAGTGTCATCCTGTGAACCTTTCACTCCCTGCCTCTCCCCCTCTTTATCTCCGCTTCACTTTACTTTGTGCTAAAAGCTATCATAGCAACAACAGTTTCTAAGTACAAGAACATGCAAACTGTACGAAGAGGTACACTTGAGAGTGTGTATACACGGGGATCAGTTTGTAAAAGTCCCAAAGGAAGACACATTAAAAAGACAATTTACCAAAAATCCATTACTTTGAAATATTAATTGAATATAATTGTTAGGTTTATTTATTCAATTTAATGAAATTTGCTAGATAAAATAAGGTTAAAGTGTAGAACGAAGCCCATCACTTAAGGTTTGTTGAATCTGTAGAGAACATACAAGTTTCATCCATTCCTGATCCTTTGTAAAACATTGTGTTAATATGTCCGCTGTAAAAAAACAGGACTGCAATAAATGAAACACATAAATCTATTCTTTAAAGCATAAATGTGTTGTTACAAAGACGGCTGCAATGTTGGGAACAAGAGCAGGGAAGAGAGGGAGGGAGAAAGACAAAAGGGTGAGAGAGAGAGTCCCCCAGTAGTGGTTTTGGCTGAATACGCAGGGTTTTCCAGTGTCTCACTGGGGGACAGGGGAATTTCACACATGCATGCTGGTTGCTTACACTGGCACATGGGGCTGGTACAGTATTACAGCACATTACCATTTCTATTTGGCATTGTTTGCTTTGCCTCATGCCTACACATACAAACACACGCTTGTGCGCACACAACTCCTGACCATACAAGCCAACCACAGGCACCATGGGAATAGTCTATTGGCTACTGGCAAAGCCGAGGCCTGGTATGAGTCCAAGACAGAGCAGAGAGCAGAGCTGTGAAGGGAGCGTGTCACTGAAATTCAGCTTCAAAGGATGCCATCACTACATTATGTGTTTAAACATTTAAATAGTGTGAATACGTAACTATTCAAATTCCAGAAGAAGGTAAGTATTTTAATTCTGATTATTGTTGTTTGGCATTTTTTAGTAAGTGTCTCTATAATGTTCAGTTTTTACAACAAGCATTTGCTTTGCAATGCTTTATTCAGGTGTTTGTGTGCATGTCTTAGTGTGTGTGTGTGTGTGTGTGTGTGTGTGGTGTGTGTGTGTGTGTGTGTGTGTGTGTGTGTGTGTGTGTGTGTGTGTGTGTGTCTCTTGTGAATGATGGCAGAAGGCCAGAAACACAGCTCCTCCTCAGGATAGATAAAACAAAACCCACAAATCATGCAGTCCTGACACCACCATGTTTGTGTGCAGATGTACAATATTGAGACAACACTTCTGTTTGTCTGTGTGTGTACTGGGTACATTTTTTTTGTAGTGTTTTGTAAGAGCACTGGGTCTAAAACAGCTTTTATTCTGCTGTTTTGTACTAATATTTGAGTTTTTCGTGTGAGCTTCAAGGCATGTGAGCCCAAGATTGTGTCCGAATTGTGTCAGAGTGTGTCTCTGTATTTTTTTAATTTGTATTCTTTTGTGTGTTCACTTGAGTGTATTTGTGTCTGTGTTAAGGGGCTTGGCCAGAGAGAGCAGGTGTACATGTAGTCATTAGATGCCTTTCAGAAACAGATATAGATAAATAGATGCATTTCAAAGGAAGAAAGAAGAAGGAGAGTAAAGGACAGGTAAGCAGAAACAAAGATGAGAAGGAGTAGAGAAGAGACAGGACAAAGGGCAATGGAGTGACAGAGAGAGAGAGAGAGGGAGAGAGAGAGAGAGAGAGAGAGAGAGAGAGAGAGAGAGAGAGAGAGAGAGAGAGAGAGAGAGAGAGTTTGATGAGTGGGAGAAATGTGAAGGAAAAGTGAGGCATTGATAATCTGAGGATCTTACCAAACACAGTATAATTTCTGGGCCCACTGATGTGTGTAAATATGGTTCCTACACCAGTCTGGTTCAGGTGGGAGCGTTGTATTTTTCCATTGGGACGAGTCGCTTCAGACCAGCTTACATGGAGGGAGGAAGGGCTTAAAGCTGTTACCACAGGAGGCTGCACGCCCTCTGGGACTCCCTGGATTGTCACTGCCACCACCTCAACACACACATGGACATACACACAAACAGAAGAAGACACACACACACACACACACACACACACACACACACACACACACACACACACACACACACACACACACACACACACACACACACACACACACACACACACACACACACACACACACACACACACAGTATAAAATATACCACATTTCTGATAGGTGTGAATAACAGATGGAATTCTGCGAGAACCATTTATGAATGTAATTAACATGATCACAACCCAATAAAAACTGCATCCAAACCCATGACTTCTCTTTCTGAGGTAGTAAAAACCCTGCTGACGACAGAAAAATATGTTTTATGCATTCCCCTCACAAAAAAAAGAAAAATGGCATTATATACAACAGCCAAAACATGACCAAAAAAAGAGAACATCTGAAACTCCTGAAAAAAAACAAGAAAAGTAGACTTGTCTATTGGTAATGGGAAAGGATTATATAGAATATAAGCAGGTAGTCCTGCATTTAAGCAGCCTGCATAAACATGTACATGCTCATTTTGGTGTAAAATATTATTAGAGTTTGTTTTGCTTATCGTTTTAATGGCAACATGGACACTGGCCTCAATTGAACTACTCCATCGCTTTTAACATTTCCTCATGACAAAGAACCCAACTGAAAGACGCTTGGTATGCCAAAAAAGACACTGCTCTTTAGTACAGTGTGGTGACGAGTGACCATCCTATTGTAAATTCCTTGTGTAGTATCTGCGGGCCCGGTGGACACTGGGTGAATGTGGAGGCAACAGAATCACAGGGCAATCTGCTGCTAATGGCAACAGGGATATCCTGACTTAATAGACTGTCACTAGCACTTCCCCCACCTGTCCCACACAGTGCTATGCAATTAGTTGTCTGCTACTACAACTAAGGAGACACACATGTGCACATACACACATAAACACACACACACAGGTACATGCAGGTATACATACGCAAGCACAAAGAGGTAACAGAGAAAAGGAGTCAGAGAAAGAAGATGCATGGAAAGTGTAGTACATGCTTTAATGTTAACTCAGTCTCTCAAGACTTTGCTCTGAAGTAAAGAAAAAAAAAGCCATGTATTGCATGTACCTTAAATGCAGTTCAGTTGGCTTGATGAGACATTACATTCAACTGTAGGAACTAATGAAGCACCTTTGTATTCTAAGTTCCTTTTAAGGGGGAACAGAAAGAGATACAACCTGTCTCCATTTAAACCTGTTTGAAATGACATATTTTTGCATCCAAGTTATCCTAGGTCATTTATAGGCTAATGTACTTTTTAACATGTTAACATGACATAGAATCATTGATAGCTCAGAAAAATACAATATAGATGCTTACGTTTTTCTCACATGTAAAAAGAAAAGCTCACTAGGAAAATCTTCCTCCTACAGTACCTTCTCAAATATGCAAAGGAATGTAAACTTGGGGGTACAAAAGAAAATGAGATTGTGAAAGACATAAAGAAAAGAGGGAAAGGGGAATGTTGGACACCGAATGACAGTTGTTGTGAAAGAGAAACTGCAGTTTGGACAGTAGAGACGATGAGAGTGGTTACGAGCAGAAAGAGACAACAGTTGGGAGAAACTGAAGAGTGTGGCGTCAGGATCAGGGGAATGACAGGAGACAAATAGCAGAGAGAGCAGGACAAAAGGATTCGAAGACAGAGGAGGACCAATCGCTCTTCCTCCCGCTCTAAGTGACCAACCGTATTAGATCAGCACCTTCTGTTGTCACAGCAGGTGTGCGTTTGTGTGTGCCTGTGTTTGTTTGTGTGCGCCGGTGTGTGTGTGGATATGTGAGGGAGCTGATGCCAGGTAATTGCAGTGGTGTATTAGGTTAGCCCAAGTTATCCCATAATTGGGACTGTTTGGCCAATTTTCAGTGGTGTACAAACTAATCCAACTCACTCCCTTTCCCCACACTGCTGGGAGTGTGTGAGCTTGTTTGTGTGAAACATATGTATGTGTGAGAGAGGGAGGTAGGCAGCGAGAGCATGGAAGACAGAGATTGATTTTGTGGTGTTACTGCATATGGCTTTGGGTTATCAGGTAAAGTGTCCAGCCAGGATGCTTCGAGAGCCTGCTTCTGTAGAGATATGTTTTAGGTCAAGTTGGTACACCATTTGAATCATGATGCTGGCTTTATTCTGTAAGATGTTTAAAGACGTGCACAGTTCAGGTGTATACTATCACCAACACCTCCTGAAGGCAGCCGTTAAAGGCCGTTGTTACAATTAACTGTCAAGTCTTTATGCTCGTATGTTGGATCTTGCTTGTATTCTTGCTTGTATTCGGAACAGATCAACAACACCATATGCTCCAATGGTGTGGGTCACATTGAGTTTGGATCTAAGCCGGTTGGCGCATTTTAACAGTTTAGCGGGGTCGGAAGAAAAAGAGGAGGAAAACCAGTCTTGCTGACTAACTTGAGAGCTATGGAAGCCCATTTCCGCCACTTGAAAAAAATAAAATCCCCATGAAAAGTCATAATTATGAGATAAAAAAGTCAAAATTATGAGATAAAAAGTCATAATAATTAGATAAAAAGTCATAATGAGATAAAAAGTCATAATTATGAGATAAGAAAGTCGAAATAATGAGATAAAAAGTCATAATTATGAGATAAGAAGTGCGCATGCGCTGCAGTGGCGCTGTCTTCAAAGGTCCCTTCATCACCTTGCTGCTCTCCACCATGCAAACGGCATCTAGTCCTAAATAAGGTAACTATTACAGGTGACTTTTGTAAATGTTAGATGTTACATATAGCCTATATTGCAGCTAAACTACAACAATGCAGTTCATAGCTTTGACATCTGTTATGAACTATACTATATATGCCTATAGTTTTGTGGTAACGTTCACGCCACTGATGACAATAGTGTAGGCATACTGCTGCTGTGAGTTGCTAGCCTAACTCTAACCCGTGAACGTTACCACAAAACTATAGGCATATATATTATAGTTCATAACAGGTAATGTCAAAGCTATGAACTGCATTGTTGTAGTTTAGCTGCAATATAGGCTATATGTAACATCTAACATTTACAAAAGTCACCTGTAATAGTTACCTTATTTAGGACTAGATGCCGTTTGCATGGTGGAGAGCAGCAAGGTGATGAAGGGACCTTTGAAGACAGCGCCACTGCAGCGCATGCGCACTTCTTATCTCATAATTATGACTTTTCATGGGGATTTTATTTTTTTCAAGTGGCGGAAATGGGCTTCCATAGAGAGCAGATACAAAAATGAAAAAATAAATGTAAAGAATATTTAAGGATATCGCAGAAAATATGAAAAAAGGAATTTGGCTGCAATATCGAAGTAAACTTAATCTAAAAACAGCATAAAGGACTGTTAAAGACTCCAACAACAAAAAAGCAGTAAAGACCAGACATCTGTGCGGAAATATATCTGATCACTATCCAATCAGGCGGGTCGCATCGAAGTGTCAAGGGGGGTAGTCGTTCTTATCAAAATCTCATCTTTTCACAATTAATAGAAACGTGTAACAACGGCCGAAGTCAATGTCGGAGATTTACAGTGTCAATCTACCTGCTTTAAAATCATATTTGATCTTTTTCTTCAGAAAATATAGAGCTGTTGAACCATTCTTCTTATCCTCTTTTTGTAACTGACCGCTATGTTATTTAGTATGCATGGTTAGGGGCTGGCGTAGGTATGGGCGTGACGCTGCGAACCCCGGGCTGCAGTCGAATAGTCCATTTAGCTTAGGAACCTTCCTAACCGAGTGAAATGACCCGGAAGTCTGAGAATAATAGGAAAGGAGGTTTCAAGCTTCCTTTATAACCTCCTTTAGCTTAGGAACCACTGGACCTCCCTAACCGAAAGGAGAGGAGAAAATGCTGCCCCACAATACCTTGCAGCCGCAGCATTTGACGTCACACAACAGCCGGCCGTTCACAGACACAAACGATTATGACGGAGAAATTATATCATGAAAGTTACGGTGCTTATTAAGCATTTTAAAACGTATGTGGTAAGTTGCCAAAGTGCTTTCTTTTGAACGTTCATCAGTATTATAATCAAAAAGAGAAATATGAACGTTAGTTTTTACTGAAATGATCAAATAAAGTCAACATTTCACTGAGCTGTGTGGGGTTTGTTCAACTTTTAAAATATGTTTGAATGGTGATATACACAGTGATAGATGTTAAGGACTAACGTTTATAATAAATACATTTGTATTGATTTTAAGATATTTTCATAGTTCATACAATCTTTGGGATCATTTGTATAAATGTGGACCGGAGGGAGAGGGTGACGAGCATACGTTTCACTTTCCTTTTTTATTTCAATTCCAACTTTGGTCATGAAGAATATGTTTCTCTGTTGTCCACGTTCATAAAGCATAAAACAACAGCATCAGAGCACGGTGCAGAGTCTCTATATGAGTTTACAGTAGTCCCTCGTTCTTATTAAACATCCATGTTGTAGTCCGCTGTATAGTTTTCCTCCATGTAGTTTCCCCACAGCAGCAGACGCACATTTATGACGTCCACTGGCGCATCATAAACACGTCGGATAGTGAAAGTGCAGTCGGATTCTCTAAACCAGTGGTTCCCAAACGGTGTGCCGCGGCACACTGGTGTGCCGTGGGATTTTGTGACAACCATACGTTATTATTGCAATATACAACTACACAAAAATAATAATTTTTTTATTTACTATATCAGTACTTTGTAGGTTTATATGTACGTAATCTGCGCGACTTGCGCATCCACATCTCCACGTCCGAAGAATAGACAGGAATGTGACGGTGAGGTGCAAACTGTGTCCAGGCCAGAAGCTGTTATCCACTGCTGGAAACACCACATGGTCAAACCTCAACAAACACCTGCAAAGAACACATGCTAAGGTGAAGCTAACGCACACGCTATTTGTTGTTTGTTTATATCACGTCGTCTGTTCTTCTTCTCTGTCTTCCGGTTGTTGCCTGTTTTGAATGACAAATACACACAACCGCCGCCTGCTGGTAAGGAAAGTTATTGCCACTCACGCATGCGCAGTTCGTACGTTCTCGGCGAGTAAAGTAACGAGTAAAGTAACGAGTTACTTTACGAAGTAGTGTAATATATTACTTTTTTTAAAGTAATACATTTATAATTTATAATTTGTAGTTCAGGACCATGGACAATGCAGCTTCCTTGCATTGACAGTTCTCTGTGCTGAATTTCTGCTGAGTTTCCTTTGCCTCATTTTTTAATTTTGTGACCTGTCTGGTTTAAATGAGTGTGTTGCTGCTTTGATGAAGCCTAATTTGATAAAGTTTCAAATTAATTTCGGAAATATTTCGTAATATAGTTGTCTTATATAAATAATTATGCACATTTACAGATATTTTACATGATATTAGTGATAACACGTGTTATAAGAGCTATTTTGCACAATCGGTGTGCCTTGAGATTTTTACTTGTCCTTTGGTGTGCCTTGGGCACAAAAGGTTTGGGAACCACTGCTCTAAGCAGTGGTTCCCAAACGGTGTGCCGTGAGGCAAGTCCGGGTGTGCCGTGGGATTTTGTGCAACCATACATTATTATTGCAATATACAACTACACAAAAATAATTATTTTTTAATTTACTATATCAGTACTTTGTAGGTTTATATGTACGTAATCTGCGCGACTTGCGCATCCACATCTCCACGTGCAGTGCTGCATAAACATGGCTGAGTCAGTGATAACTTTCGAGGGGTGGAGGTATGCCCATTACTTTGAGATTGTCCGAAGAATAGACAGGAATGTGACGGTGAGGTGCAAACTGTGTCCAGGCCAGAAGCTGTTATCCACTGCTGGAAACACCACGTCAAACCTCAACAAACACCTGCAAAGAACACATGCTAAGGTGAAGCTACCGCGCTATTTGTTATTTGTTTATATCACGTAGTCTGTTCTTCTTCTCTGTCTTCCGGTTGTTGCCTGTTTTGAATGACAAATACACACTACCGCCGCCTGCTGGTAAGGAAAGTTATTGCCACTCACGCATGCGCAGTTCGTACGTGCTCGGTGAGTAAAGTAACGAAGTAGTGTAATATATTACTTTTTTTAAAGTAATACATTTATAATTTATAATTTATAATTTGTAGTTCAGGACCATGGACAATGCAGCTTCCTTGCCTTGACAGTTCTCTGTGCTGAATTTCTGCTGAGTTTCCTTTGCCTCATTTTTAATTTTGTGACCTGTCTGGTTTAAATGAGTGTGTTGCTGCTTTGATGAAGCCTAATTTGATAAAGTTTCAAATTAATTTCTGAAATATTTCGTAATATAGTTGTCTTTGTCACATTTTATTTGGCATTAGTAAATAATTATGCACATTTACAGATATTTTACATGATATGAGTGATAACACGTGTTATAAGGGCTATTTTGCACAATAGGTGTGCCTTGAGATTTGTACTTGTCCTTTGGTGTGCCTTGGGCACAAAAAGTTTGGGAACCACTGCTCTAAAGTACCGCAGTCTCTTCTCCTAAATCCTTTTGAATTCTCCTATCGACTATCCCTTAACCCCGTGACGTTTCACTCAAGAGGTCAAGGAATAGACGATAGGGTTAGAACTTAGGAGCTGATTTTTGGACTATTCGACTGCAGCCAAGGTCTAGTCTGCTACGGACCTCTCAAACGTACATGTGAGTTATAGAATACTATTGCCACGAACATTCTGTGATATTATCGGGTTTATATAGATTTTAATTGAAACTGTGTGTGTTGTTCTTTGGCTCAACTGTTCATAGTGCCAATTAATATGAGAGATATAAGGACTGCCATGCTTGACGTCGCACATTTTTGCACCCTCGGTGAGCGGAGTGAGGTACGTTAAAGAGACTTTGTTACACGTTGTTATTTGATCTGTGAATTAATACAGTTGTGGTTTAACCGAATGCTTTATTGATGTTTTGTAATGACAATTATGTACCTATGTCTGTGGCCGTTTCTCAATCTCGAGGATACTGGCTTCCAAGCCAATATTTCAAGGATGCTACGTCATCAAGTGGCGCAGCAGGACCGTTCCAATGTCCAGCATACTTGGAATTCCACCGAGGCCGCGTCCTTGGTTTGGGGGAAATTTCGAGGCTGCACATGGGTAGACTTCGTGTCCTTAAAATCCCCACAATGCTTTGCGCACGGACCAATTTCAAAAACCCTTGCGGAGAATGGCTGAACCGACGCAGCATACATTTAAATGTAAGTATGTAGTGGCGTAGAACATGTGTTGGTAAATATGTTACTTTGTTACATTTGTTATCACCAAAAATGTGTTCCGTGAAAATAAAGCAAGTTCATAATTAGATAGACATCGTGAGGTATTTATTTTCGGTACAGTTTATGTTGAAACCGTTAGAGAGAGTGGCACACTTGTTAGCCTGTTCCATTCTTCTTCGTTTTCTGAAGCCGTGGCTTGGAAGTATACTTGCTTCGTTTCTGAAGGAAGTGACTTGGAAGTACACGACTACCAAGCCAGCATCCTCGAGATTTTAGTTTTCACGATGCTTGAAAGACCAATAAAGAAACTGCAGTGATTATTGCCAAGGGCAGCTACACTCTTCATTTCTCCAACCATTTATCACTCCTTCCTTTATCACGTTTCTACATCCATCCTTTCCTTTTTCATCCATGTCATAATTCTCCCCAGCATCCATTTATTGTTTACATTCATACATCCATCATCTATTGATGTATCAAACCATCACAACCAGTTCAACCAACTCTACCTCCATCCCACCCTCTCTGGTCAATCCACCTCTCCAGTTACACATCTACTGGCTGCGTCTTTATGTAAGAATGAGCTCATCAAAATAATGAGATGTTAAATTAGCTTAAGAAAAAAAAGCCAGAAAGACAGTTTTCAACGTGAGCTTTCATCACCCCTAAGCCGGAGAAATTAATTGTTGTGGTGATATCAGCTCTGCTACAGCCAGAGAGATAGCAGGGGGAGTTCTGTGTGAAGCTATTATGGATGCTATCACAAACATCAGGAAGGCTCAGCAAATCCAGAGCCCTGCATACCGGGGGAGAGCGGAAACCAGGCTAAATAAAAACTTGTACCGACATGGACAACATCACACACTGTATATTCTTAACAATAAAGGTCAGAGACAGGTTTAACATGTGTAAAATATCACTTGCAAAACAACTGAGCACATGAACTACTACTATTTCTTAAGAGAGGGTGAAATGACATTTAGCTTAAAGGCCACTGTCCAAACAAAGGATCATATGAGCGGCCAACTGCAGAAGGAAATGCGGAAAGGATTCTGATTTAGGTTTAAACAACATGAAGCATGTGTTGCATGTCCAGGCAATTACTCTATGAAAAAACAAAACATGAACAGCATACGTTGCACACTTGTATGCAGACTGGTTGGAGGTAGTTCAGATGTTAGGAGAATCAAGGATTAGTTATAAAATCAGCTCCGGGACACTTTTGACTAATATGGTACTTGGATTGATCAGCTTCACTTTGTTGAACGTTTTTTTAAACCTAAAACCGCCTCTAACTGACAACGACATTGTTTAACAATTAGAAAAACACAAACATATATATTTTTATCTCAAAGCGATGTTCTCTCTGAGTTCTATATCTCTTTCACACACACACCTTTTTTTTTCTTTAATTGTTCAGCCTAAATTAAAGAAATGAACTGGAGTACAGAGTAAAGTGGTGCTTAGTTCAGTGAAGCTCAGTCCATCTTTAGAGAAGCCATTAGATAATCATACAGGGGGAATAATGTCTTTATGGAATGAGGTGCTACAACAGAGTCAGGTTTTGGAAAGTGTGTGTGCTGGTGTGTGAAAGAGAGAGAGGGTTTAACATTAGGGGTGATCAAATAGCAGAAATAGAAATCAACTGAAAAGTCATTAGCTTTCCAATAGTAGCTGCAAATGGTAATAGTTAGTGTAAATAATATATATATATATATATATATAATTTTCCACTTATTTCCTTTCTTGCTATCATTTCATGCTTTATGAGAAGACAGGTCAGCCCAGCTCCTCGTCTTAGCTTTAATGCTCCAAACTCCCAGTACGCTCTGAACTAAAGACTTTTATACTGATGCTGACTTTCTATTATATGTGTAAGACAGGTAAGCATACATTTAGCCACATATGCTGCTAAAGGGCTTCAGTGATGCAATGTAGAACAAATTAACCTGACACAGCAGAACAGTAATAGCAACAGTAAAAAAAACACATGTAGTCTTACCTGTGTACTGTCAGTACAACCGGCCCGGTTACAGACCCTCAGCTGGTAGCTGAACTCCTGGAAAGGCCTGATCCCCCCCACATCAGTAAAACTGGTTTCATCACCACGGTAACGCTCCTGTCCATCCCGCAGTATAACATAGTGGGTGATGTCACCTGGTAAAATAGAAAAGGTACTTTTTTATAATCTATTTTTTACTTTTTCTCAAAATTGAACAACATGTAAAAAGAAGGGGCTATTTGGTGACACACACACACACACACACACACACACACACACACACACACACACACACACACACACACACACCATTAGGCCTGGCGGGTGCTTGCCATAGCAACTGGATGATGTCATCTCGTTCACCTAAGCGACTCCAGCGAGGAGGTGCCACTCCCCACGGTTTGTCTTCACTGGTGCTCACTGTTGTAACATCACTGGAGCCTCGTCCGAAGCTGTTCCAGCCCCTCACTCTGTACTCATAGGTGGTGAAGGGCTCCAGGACTGAGTCTGTTTGAGAGTATCAGAAATAGGAACACAAATAAATGAAGGAGGGGATGCAAAAAACAACAACAAATCTACCAAATTGCAATACAATTTATAATCGACCAACACTGCAGCACTTCTGTGATTAATACTGTAAGTGGACAAATAGTTTAGCTGTAATCCCAGAAAGCAAGCAATCAATATGCCATTTTGAAGATTAAATGACATTTTAAATATGTGTGGATTGATAGAAAAGAGATGAATATCCTTGCAGTATGATAGATATGTAAAAATGTCAATTTTCAAGAAGAAATTAGCCAACATTGACTGCTTCTTTGGATATTTAAATTATTGGGTGCATTGTTTTAACATAAGTGAATAGTTTACAAATGGGACTCAGTAGCAAAAGCATTTGGCCAAAAGAAAATGAAAATAAAGGATTCATAATATATTGTGTACAATATATTCACCATCACTGAAGCATTCTGGGAAACAGGCTGTGACAACCCTTCTAGTGAGGCATACATACAGCAGCCTTTATACATACAGATGCACTTCTACACACATGAGCATTACTTTTAGGAGTGTTAAGGGACTGCTGCTGAAAATGAGACCATGTTTTAACCGCCAGTCTGGGACTCTTATCTTTACTACTGTGATAACCAAAGCAACAAAACACACACAGTGACACACACATGTAAATAAGACACTGAATGCCTGTACATGGATATTTACCCCAAAGCTGAATGTGTGTGTTTGATTAAAGACTCATTTTCAAAAGTAAAAAAGAAGACAATACAGTATATATCTAGAGTTCATTGCACATGTGGAGCTATCTGTGTGTGATCTACTTTAGGATTAAGACAGTATAGCACGATACCCTGTGTGTTAGAGTGTCTGTGCATGAGAAACATCTGGTGTATGGTGGGTGGCGACAGCTTTATGTGCCTCTGCCCAGATGGTGTCACAGCATTGCCTAGAAACTCTTATCCTAACCGCCCCATGCAACACACACACACAAAGTAAAAGAAACACACACACAAAACACCACTCACTACAGAAGCAGACCAAAATGGTAGCCAACTCGGGACTTACACGTATACAAACATGTAATTATTGCACAACCACCCATACACAGTGATAACATCCACAACCACCATTAGTCTTGATTAAACAGACGTAACTACCCAGATAAGTAATGGGTGGACAGACTGAAAATCCTAACACACGCCCACACATACCAACACACGCACACACTCCAACTCCCTTTGGGCTGATAAATAGTAGAGAATGTTGAAATGGCATTTAAACGCCCATCTCTAAGTTTTAATGACACACAAGTGAGCAGCGCAGAGAGAGTTACCACGTTAACAGCTTTCAATGTACACTGCACAGCTGTCCTGGTGTGTGAGTGTGTGGAAGGGCATCTGTCTCCAAAGCCCATTGATTGCAGCGACTTACACATTTAGAGTAAAATGCACAATTGGTTTCCTAAGGCACAACATTTCTATGAGCAGTGTCTTCTACAGATGGCTTTTTCTTTATTAAATATTCTTCATAGTGGCTCTGAGGACTGAAATGAGAGTCCTTATTCCACACAAAGTGAAAGGTCAGAAACAGGCAGGCAGATTATGAATGGTCAACATTTCTTATTACAGATGTATGATGACACTAGAAAGGATCATGTGATTTCCTCTGAGCTTTGGCAGCTATTTTAGAGTTGTGTCAACGACACTTCAAAATGTTTAGGCAAGTAAAAGTCATTCGATTTAACAAGAGTACATGTTTGTAGCATTGCCAACATCGAAGAGCAGTCATTGGAAAAGGAGACATAAATGACCACTGGTCAGACTTTGTGAGGTAAAGGACACATTTTGGAAACAGGAAACACCGGAAGTTTTAGGGTGGAAAAAACTATTCGTTTTAAATGCATAAGCAGTCTCCTTATGTCTAGGCTTGTTACCACAGACACCCAACACTGAAGAAAGTTAAAGCAAAAGCAAAGACAAATGCTAATAATGAACTATGCTTATTGCTATGGAAAATCACTGGTTTGGTAATTCTTCATACTGCAGCCAGCCTGTTTAAAACAGAACAGCACACAAAACACCAATTACCTGTATAGGTGTATCTGTTGGCATCTCCGCTGTACACAACTTCCTCATGTGACGCGCACAGGCTCCCATCAAGTTGCAGGTTCTCGTCTGCCATTTTGAATGTATTATGACTTCTGTTTGCATGTGTAGACGGACCCTGAGAGAGAGCTTCATGAGTGATGTTGATGTAAGGTGAGTCTGTTGCGTTGGGTGTGTCAGGCTGTGTGTGAGCAGACAGGAGCCATGTGCAGGCGGTCGTAGATGGATCGAGGTCACAAGAGCCACAGTAAGCTGTAGAGGCTGCGGCTACAGGACAAATGGCGCCCTGCATACACTCGTGCTGTGAAGAGGAGGGAGGAAGGGCCAGAAAAGGATGGAGAAAGTGGGGGGAAACAGAGAAGTTGAGAAGACAAAAACAAGGTTATGGACTGGTAAGATAGCAGTGAAGAGCAAAGTCAGGGGAGGAAAGACACCATTTTTTTTTTCTAAAGCGCCTCTCTGTGTCTAACACACGATACATGCAGATTCTTGCTACATGTGTGTATGTTTGTGTGTGGTAAGAATGGTCCTTAATGACATCATTAGAGCTAATGAGAGTTCCTACCCTTTGTCCCTGTGTGTGTGCGCCTCTGATGGTGTATGTGTGTATGCAGCGCCTGTCTCATGCTGACTTAGGAACACACAAACGCCACATGACCCCGGGTGATAAATGGAAGATGGCCCAGACCCCAACTCCTGATGTGACAATGAGTGTGAGTTTGGGAGAGGGAGAGACATTTCCTCTGCTGATAACCGCTTAACATGTAAGTAGACGTGTGAAGGCCCGATATTTTGGCAAACAATATATCTAAAATGCTATGGCACCACTGAAAATCTATGAATGAACAATTGTTAGAGAAAACAAATTAATAAATTGACAATTACAAAATTATTGATAATAATGTGTGCTTCATGTCTCATATGGAACTTTCTCTACTAAGTGCACACACACACACACACACACACACACACACACACACCACACACACACACACACACACACACACACACACACACACACACACACACACACACACACACACACACACACACACACACACACACACACACACACACACACACACACACACACACACACACACACACACACACCTGTATCAGCAGGCCGGGTGTGGGTTTGTCAGCACACACGTGTCGTTGAGGGTCATGGCCAATCCCATTGCAGCATTCCTCTTTCTGATGTATGACCTTTGACCCACAGCACTGCAGTGTCACCGTCTCATTGCCAGCAGGGTGCATGCTGGGATTTCCGTCTTTACCAACACAGCAAAGTGAGGTTGAAGAGTTGATATACTCCTGCCCACAGCAGATGAAACCTAAAGAGAAAACAAGCATCACATCATTGTTTAAAACACATTTCAATTCTTGGTCTTACTGTAAGGAAATCATATTTGATGAAGCACCTTTTATTGATGATTTGGACACTATTTCAAGATCTCTACTTTGAGGTACCAATGGCTGTAGGCAGTAAATGTGTTGCTTGGTCTAACTTTCCCATATTTTAGAAATCCCAACAGTGAAGCCATTTCTGATAATGTCGCCACAGACACTGAGCTACTATTAGTGCATTTTAGATCTGCATATAAAGGTCAACTTGTACTTATAGAAATTGTTAATCCATTGATGGCAAAAAATAAATACAAATATCACTCTCAAATTTGAAGATTTCCTGCTTTTCTCAGTTTTAAATCATATTACGTTACATCATTTGGGGGATTTGGACTGACAGATCAAGACCTTGAAAAACTGTGATGATAATTGTTTTACTATTTGCTGATTCTTTACAAGCCAATGACTAATCGAGAAGGAATCTGCAGATTTAATAATTGTGTACAAAAATATAAATGCAACACTTTTGTTTTTGCTCCCATTTTTCATGAGATGAACTCAAAGATCTAAAACATTTTCTATATACACAAAATAACCATTTCTCTCAAATATTGTTCACAAATCTGAAAAAATCTGTGATAGTGAGCACTTCTCCTTTGCCGAGATAATCCATCCCACCTCACAGGTGTGGCATATCAAGATGCTGATTAGACAGCATGATTATTGCACAGGTGTGCCTTAGGCTGGCCACAATAAAAGGCCACTCTGAAACGTGCAGTTTTGCTTTATTGGGGGGGTCTGGGGGGGTCCGAAAACCAGTCAGTATCTGGTGGGACCACCATTTGCCTCACGCAGTGCAACACATCTCCTTCGCATAGAGTTGATCAGGTTGTTGATTGTGGCCTGTGGAATGTTGGTCCACTCCTCTTCAATGGCTGTGCGAAGTTGCTGGATATTGGCAGGAACTGGAACACGCTGTCGTATACGCCGATCCAGAGCATCCCAAACATGCTCAATGGGTGACATGTCCGGTGAGTATGCTGGCCATGCAAGAACTGGGATGTTTTCAGCCTCCAGGAATTGTGTACAGATCCTTGCAACATGGGGCCGTGCATTATCATGCTGCAACATGAGGTGATGGTCGTGGATGAACGGCACAACAATGGGCCTCAGGATCTCGTCACGGTATCTCTGTGCATTCACAATGCCATCAATAAAATGCACCTGTGTTCGTCGTCCATAACATACGCCTGCCCATACCATAACCCCACCACCACCATGGGCCACTCGATTCACAACATTGCAAAACTGCACGTTTCAGAGTGGCCTTTTATAGTGGCCAGCCTAAGGCACACCTGTGCAATAATCATGCTGTCTAATCAGCATCTTGATATGCCACACCTGTGAGGTGGGATGGATTATCTCGGCAAAGGAGAAGTGCTCACTATCACAGATTTTTTCAGATTTGTGAACAATACTTGAGAGAAATGGTTATTTTGTGTACAGTATATAGAAAATGTTTTAGATCTTTGAGTTCATCTCATGAAAAATGGGAGCAAAAACAAAAGTGTTGCGTTTATATTTTTGTTCAGTGTATATAATCGTTAGTTGCAGCCCTATTGTAAATGCAAGGGCTTTTATCAGTGGGACAGTGAGTGTTTTGACTTTTAATTTTCTTTCAAATGTCATTTATATGCTGTTGTTGTATTTTAAGTTCTTCAACAGTGATGTACTGTATAACATCAATGCTTTTTTGTTCTCTAAGACAAGGAATACTAGCCTTTCTATAGTTTTCCTCATCACCTTTTTTTGTCCTCTGTTGCTTCTCCATACCTAAGCAGGGCATCATATAATATTACTCATCCTCTTATCCTGCACCTTCCCTGTTCTTCCACTTCCTTTCTCCCTGTCCTCTCTTCTGTCCATACTGAAAAAAAGATCCAGGCCATGTTGGACTGCAATGTCTCTTCTCTACACTTCCCATACTCCAACTTTTTCTTCTCTTTACCCCGGTTCCCCCATCTGCAAATACTTAGTATTTATGCTGCTGGGGATATTAGTGTGCCTCTCTTATCAAATCTTTTATATATCCTCCTTTTCTCCTTTCCTCTCCTCTATTCGTCTCTACATACAGCAGTAATATTCAGGCTATGCTGTCGAAAGAGCGCAGGGGGAGAGGCAGTGTGTTTTTCTGAGAGCTGCCATCTCTGACAGTGATAGGTGATGTCTTTTTGCTATCACTTCACCTTCAGCAGCAAGGTGAAATTTAAAATACATACTATCACTCCATTTCCCTGTAAATGTTTTACAGCATATCATATTGAATATCACATTTCAAGCTTGTTTCCTCACAATCTCAAATACTTCATATTTCTAATAACTTGAGTCCTTTTGAATGATTGACAAATAAAGCAATTCAAGTGCCAGTATTTGAGAAATACTGTAGAATACACAAAACAGAAACGAGAGGTGCATTGTGTGTGAAATTAAGGTTAGGTCATGAAACAAAACTGGCAGCAGCTTTTGTGGAGCTGAAGATTATAGAGTAAACACTGAGCCCTGTCTCCAGTGGCTCTCCTAATAACACAAGTTGAGCCAATCTGGTTACTTTGACGTCCCAGCTTAGTTAAGGGGGAGGACTGTCAAGCTTTGGCCTTGCAAAGGATTAGGGATATAATATTGTCCTGCTATAATACTGAGTCAGCAAAGTAAGCCCCTGCTGTGAGGATGCATTGGAAATACAAATGAGCATGGCATGGCACGGCACGGCTCAACTAAAAGATCATAACGCTGCTTATGGAAGAAGGACAAATTGTATTTTAATGAGTCCACTAAAAAAGAATCTTCTCATTTTGAATCAGACTGAAATACATCAAAACCCCTCGGTTTCCTGTGCTTATTTAGCTTGTTTTTTTTTTAAAATAATCTAACTTTCATGAGGTATTTAGCAAATTCATCCTAACAGTTGATGACATGCTGATCCCTGGCACTATCTACCCCCAGCTGTGTTTCCCATTTTATCTGACAGCAGACATTAAACACTAAGTCATTGCTTTGTATCATGGCCTCGCCCTTTAATGGGGCTGCAGCTAGTTGTGGAGTGATAAATAACTTATTGTTTAACAACCCAATCAGCGTTCACTCTTTGCACACATGAAATGCCGTTCATTTAAGCAATCATTTAATTTAAAGGCCAAAAGTGGAGGATGGCACATATTTTCTACTGCGCTGTTGCAGTACATTATAGCCTCACAACATCCATCACAGGCAACATGTGACAGGAAAATGCATGCGTATGTGTGTGTGATTGTGTGACATAAAGGCAGTCTGACGGCTAGTAACTCACTTAGCAGCGGCAGCTGTTACAGAGCGGGGGCTTGGTGGCCAATTCCCCCAGCGCCTTACTTCAGCTTCAATGACGTGCAAATAAACAGCTCAACACTTTTCCAAAATAGCTTCTCTCCACTCATCCCTCGTCCTCTCGGCATCCTCACCTCTACGCCCCCTTCCATCCGGACAACAGGCCCAACGCAACTCACAATTTATACTCATCTGCCCCCCTTCCAGTCACTCACAAGCAGTCAGACTGGCTTTCAATATATTGTTCATCTTGGCTAATTTCAAACTCTATGCATATCTTGATTCTGTCTTTATTTCTGCCTCGATGAAATAACAACATGATCACCTTTGACCTGAAGTTCAGTATTTATCTCCTTCATCCCTGCATTCATAACTTATTATCTGTGTCTTCTCTAATCCTAACTTTTCTCTCTGTACGATGCTTTAATTTGATCAGTTTTTCTATCATCCCATAATAATACTACATTTCTCTTGACTATCACTCTACTTGTTCCTTTCTCCTTACTGTATATTTCCTCTTAATCATGTTTACGTCTATCTGATTTACACCTGATTTCCTCTCTCCGTCCATCTACTGCTCTCTATCCCTCTCTCGCTTCCTACTTCCCTGCATCCATTCAATTTTGTAGGTATACTTTGTTTGTTTACTGTTCTGCCGCTAAACTTCACTATTCTATTATCACCCATTCAGCAGAAATCCAATCCCTGTCTTTGTAAGCGTTATCTGTGAACTGCTGTGTGTGACATGCTTGTACATTTGTGTTAACGTTTTTGAAACACACACCTATTTTCTCTTGCTCTCTGTAAGCTGTGTGTGCATGTGCGTGTGTGTTGACAACATGTTATCACACACCTCTTGTTTTTCTCTCTTGCTTTGCAGAATGCTTCTGCCCTAATCTTCAGATTTATGTTGGATTTGCATACATTCGTTAATAGCATCGGGAGCGCCACGTCAACACAAGGTGCTTAGACAACGTGAATTATTATTAGGGTTTCAGTCATTCCACTTAATGATAAGTCAATATTTAGCCCTGCCAATGAACTACTGATAAAAATGTGTGTTGTGGATTAGGGTTATCCGAGCTCTCTAGGAGACCAAACCCCCTCCACAACTTTAAACAAACCAAACACTTTTAAATAACTGAATATATTACAAGGGGTTTGGCACAAAGTGCACACATACTCTGTTTGAGTGCGTGCATAACAGCACACACACACACACACACACACACACACACACACACACACACACACACACACACACACACACACACACACACACACACACACACACACACACACACACACACACACACACACACACACACACACACACACCACACACACACACACACACACACACACACACACACACACACACACACACACACACACACACACACACACACACACATTTAAGCTATTTACTAACAATGATTTGGTGGCTTTAGCCTATTACAGCTTCATACAATAGGCATTTATCTTAGCCCAGTGCTTCTCAAAGTGTGGTCCGCGGACCACTGGTGGTCCGTGAGCGCCCCCTAGTGGTCCGTGAGTATATTGGTAAAATTTCACATTTGAAATAAATAAATACGTTTCAGTTTTCCGCACTCTCGCGGGAATATCT